TTAGAAAAAAATAAACCATCAAAATTAATGGACGGAGATGTCATCATCAATCTCATTACCGAAGATGATGAAGGACACCAGGAAAGGTAAGGCGTACTCGCGCTCGCTTTCCACCATCCATACAATTGTTTTATTGTTTTTATAGAACCACCACTACAACAGCCAACAACAACAACATGAATGAGTTGGACGACTTTCTGAAAGAATACGAGGGCATCGTGAGCCACGTATATGCCCCACAAGTAAGGGCGATCCCTCCACCTCACGACCAGGAGCATCAGCAGCAGCAGCAGTTAAGGTAAAAATTGCTCATGAAAACAAAAAAAAATTAACAAATTTTAAAAAATTATTCTAATATATATTTGTTTTTATAGCCATCATCAATATCCGGTACAGATATTAGAACACATCATAATTCCCGCGCCGCCGCCACCACCACCGCCCCAGTCAAATCAGCACGCGGGAGATGGCTTACACCAATTTCATCCGCCGCCACCGGGCAATAACGCCGTGAACAACAATCACTTTCAGTAAGTTATACTTGCAATATATACATACACTCTATTCTTAATACTGTGCTTTTCTCCTTATTGTTACAGAGCTTCGTTACCAAGGGCGGGTGCAAAGGACATGAATGTCCTAAGAGACATCTACCAAAACATCTCCCCAGCAGCAGCAACAGATCTGCCGCCACCACCACCACCCCCGCTGGACCCGCACAGGTGGCACGAGCCGTCCAACCCCCCAAGAGCTGGCAATGGTGTCCATGCGGTGCCTGGAGCAAATGTTGCCCATTGTTGAAACGAAGCACCGAGATTCCCAACTTCTTACCGAAAGGTTGGAAAGGGAATTAACGGCATCCCGAACACAACAGCAGCATCTCCAAAAAGAAATGCAATTAATAATTAATTATATTACATTTTTAAAACAAATGTCAATGTAACTATAACGAAATAATAATGTAATTATTGTATGTACCTATTTCAAATATACGGAATTGATGCAATTGTTATTGTTATTAATATAGTTTATCCCGCCGCAAACTTTCCACGGCTATAATTTTAATCCAATACGAGGAATTCATTGTCGAGGTCAAGCAAAAGTGAAACAGGGCGTTGTTGCAGCAACCTACAATGGAAATTATAAATCTCATTTCATGATTTCTCCCTGCAATAAGTATTGTTACTAAGTTACGTACCTGAGTTATGATATTCCCGAATTTTAATTTCCGCAAAAATCATAATTATTTCCGTAAGCAACAACACCATAAATGAGAAACGAGTGCAAGGCCACGAAGTACAAACTGATACTGTTCTATTTTTAATGCGCGCGCGAAATTGCAAAGTTTTTTTATGTACACGATCTAAAGGGGCCCCTAGACGGTCAATCATTTTGATCAAAAACTTCATTCAAGCGCGATTAACCATCAATATGTCAAATAACACCTACTTATACCACGCGGGTGTGGTTCTAACAGGGACATTGCCGATGGGAAAATGAATAAACACCCCTTTGTACATTTTTTTTTTTTAATACACACAACTTTACATATACACAAGGAAATAATCATTTTATTTAGGTACATCATCATCATCATCATCATTGGGCCTTATCTCATGCACACAAATCGCCAGTAGACCTCACAACATCAATTTTTCCATACGGCGCCGACAACCCAAAATTTCCACATCCCACTTTAATTTTCTAATTTTCATTACCAGCTCGTCAATTCTTTTTTTCCGTTGCTGCCGCTGCTGCTGCTGATGATGATTATGAACAATGACTCTTGACATCTCGTCGATTCTTGTTATTATGGACAAATGTCTTCCAATTAACACCTTATATTACACCCAACGGCCTTGAGCCGCCGCCACCCCCCCTCCACACAAACAATACACCCCTTTGTTCTCACAACTCGACCTTGAAATCCAATGGCCTTCACCCATCACCCCCCTCCGAAAAACACAAACAATACACCCCATTTCTTCTCAACACTCGACCTTGAAATCCAATGGCCTTCACCCATCACCCCCCCTCCGAAAAACACAAACAATACACCCCATTTCTTCTCAACACTCGACCTTGAAATCCAATGGCCTTCACCCATCACCCCCCCTCCGAAAAACACAAACAATACACCCCATTTCTTATCAACACTCGACCTTGAAACCCACCCACCCCCACTTACGCAATACCACTTTGACCTTCAACACCACTTTGACCTTGAAACGCTAACACTTCAATCATATGGCACTTTTCAATGTAAAGTGAGCCAGGATCGGCCTTACTATACTACTAACTTCTTTCAAATTAGTTAACGAACTTCTGAAATTGGGCTTTTGGTACCCGAAGCAATAAGGTGTGTCTAATTATGCGTTAATAACTGAGGTCTGTAAACTTCACAAGATCAGGGTGCGGATTTGGCCACTATCTCGATGCTATTATATTTGATAGATTTGCTTTATCTGTAACGGATGGATTGAAGCAGGGTATTGAACCATATTGATGTTTGTTGAGTCGAGAGTAAAGTCAACATTTCGCTATACTGCCGACGTCCACTTAAAATAGCAACTGAAAGCTAGCGTACAAAAGTTTTCTGCCGAAATGAATTCTAACTTTATTACGAATCTCTGTCCCTATTAGACCTCGTCACGATACGTTAGTTCGTTTTCACGTCTGCGTAAAGTGCTACCTATTTCAGCGAAGGGGGTACAGAAGTGCTTAATTACTCATCCGTCACCACTAAGTTTTTAGGCCCGTCAAATGAGATTAATTAACAACTAGCTTCCGGGCATCTAAGCGTAAAGTGTTTACAAGTAACCTGTTTCCCACAAAAATTTTATGAAAGGGTTGTTTAGATTCATCGTAAAGTAATTGCGAAAATAATCCTTAAATGTAATTCAGATAATTGTGGTTTATAGTGGAACTGGAAGTGGAAGTTTCTGTACCAATTCTGAGTACAAGGAAACACTTTCAATTTTAAATTAGATGGGATCATTATAGTGTGTTTTACTTGGATCCTATTTTCCATCCCATATAGTGGAAAATCGTCGAACAATGTGCAGGACAATGAAAAAATAGAAAACTAAAAACATCAAAGTCATGGTTTATGATGTGTAACGGAGCAATAGTTTGTTGAAAGTTGCTTCTATTCGTTTAATACCAAAATTGGAATGGTCACATTTTTTCAGTGACAAAAATCTAAACATCACCCCTTATTACTTCCCCAAATGAAAGTAATCGTTAATAATTGAGCATGAAACTTCACTCTTCGTCGTTAAAGGCATCGAATGAACACACGACTTGCATAATTTGACATCAATTACACTTATTCTATAATAATACATGAAATTAATTTGACGAAAAAAACTTCTAAACGACAGCAACCCTTAGTAACTAAGCAAACCAATCCACAGCCTGTCACACCACACGTTACTTGGAATTATCTTATCTTTCTACGTAAACAAAACATTTTTCTCTGATTAAAACGCCACCTTATCCCTAAAAAATTACTTGAATATTTTCTATAATAAACGAAAAGCTCAATAAATCCAATCGGAGCTGTCAATCACATTAACGAAACAGTTGTCTGCTTAGTGAAAGTTAAAAGTTGCTACCGTCTGAGCAGCCACCGAGCATTGTTTTCATCTTACGTATCAAACCAGTTCGAGTCATTGAGTTTAGTTATTAAAGAAGAAGCTGTGTTTGATAACTACGCCTGAATATAGCAAACGTTGCACGACCAGATTATTTGTGTTCTTAAAAAAACTAGAAGTAATTTAGAAATGTGAGATTTTTATTTAAATTAAGTTTCGACCGCATGGGTGCGGGGAATTATTACCAAGCAAGCTTTGTAAGCTTCTCTTTCAATTAGGGATTTTGTTTTAATTGTTTCGTGTGTTTCGAAATAATTTTTTTCGATCAATTATTTGTGTGTTTATTCGAATTCTTTGTTCGGCCCGGATAGTTTTCATGTCAGATTTTTTTATTGGTGCCCATGATTTATTTCAGGTGTTAATCAATATTTGTTTAGGTAATTCTTTGGAGTCAATGGCAGTCTTTCAAATTGAGAAATGTCAGCTAGGTTATTATTAGGGGTTTTCTTTATAGCAGTTGCTTGATGTGCGCGAGGACGGGGTGATTTATAGGAGTCACTTTTCAATCCATCATAATTTGTCCCTCAGTCAATTGATTTCGCACGCAGCATGAATCTACAGTTTTGTGCCACGAACGGTACAGATTCATATTTGAAGTAGAGCGTAAATCAATTTTTATGCAAATCGGCGAGTTTCTAAAGATCGCTTTGATGATTCTAGGGGTAGCTCTTAGAGGTGAAACTGTTTAATAAATAATAAATTACTCCATAATCATATTGACGTTCATTGAACTCAATTAAGGTGATTACAATCAAGTACACTCTCGGCTATACAATTCTAAAATTATTTTTGAATAGGTGTAGCTTTCACCACTAAAAAAACGGCACAGGGTTTAACTTGGAAAAAAATATTAAGAAAATTATTAATTTTAATAATTAATTATTAAATTATTATTATATTAAGAATATATCATTATCGTAAAGGATTTTGAAGATGCTGTCGGTCCAAGTCATTTCGTAGGCTTTTTCCATGTCCATCGATACCAAGAGGATACGTTCTTAGAGGATTAATGGGTCACAAATGCTGACTTCTAAGTGATTGATCTCATGTTTCGTGTTCCGAATTGATGTGTCAATAATAGTTCATCTTGTTCTATACGGATCATCGGAATCGGGATTACGATAGCCTCTCTCCATTGATTTGGAAAGACTTAGGAGGTCCACCTGTAATTGCAAAGGCTGAGTAAGTAGTCAATGACTCTTTTGGTAGGTTCTTGATCATTGCGCTAGGGATGTCATCAGGGCCCTGGACTAGTGTTGCCACAACTAGAAATTACAAATGATTGCTTCTCTGTTTGCTGTGTCACGGTATTTTTTAAAGCGTTCGGTGTAATTGGAATCGTCCGTATTGGAGCTGAAACAGTCTCTAAAGCATCTGCTGTCTGTTGTGGTTCTGATATTATGTGTCCATTTTGAAATATATCCCGTGGTAGCGGATTGGTAAAGCTGCTACCTCTAGCTACTTTTAACCTTATGCCAGACTTTAGTTAAAGGCGTGATTATATTGACGACGTGAAATCGTGCCAGCTTTCTCTGTTTTACTTCCCTTCTCGCCATAGCTGTTTTTTGTTTGGAGGTGATCTTGTTCATTCAGTCTCCTTTTGAACTATCAGAAGGCTTCTTGGCTAATTATACTTCCATGGCAGTTAGGGTTCCACCATGAGACCCGTCTTTGGGTATGTCAATCACTGGTTTTGGGAATCGTATAATGAGGTGAGTGAATTCTGGTGTGTTCTATTGGATCGGCCAGGGGCTGGTTTAGCTTAGGTAAGTTGTCTATGGGAAATGTTATCCCTTGCTTGAAAAGGTCCCAGTTATTTTGACTGAGTATCCATCTGGGCTGTCTCGTTTGGAATTCTTGATTGATTTTGAACCTAGTGTCTTGTAAGATAATCGGGTAATGGTCGCTGTCCCAGGTGTCTTCCAAAACTAACCATTCAAGGTGTTGGGCAGTGCCATTCAACGTTAAATGTCAGGGCAAATGGCACTCTGTTGACCAGTACTGACGTTGATGTGAGTGTTAGCGCCCTCGTTGAGTAAGATTAGCTGATTGTTGTTATATATCAATCCAGTCTTTAATCAATTTTCCCAGTATATTCATTTTCCAAATTTTTCTAATTGTATCGCTAGAAATTCATCCAACAAACTCTCACTAGAGGAAGTGCTGTTTTTAATTTCCCTCTCGTAATTGATCTATGCTAGTTTGAAAATCAGTTAAACGAGCGTTTAAACTACCACGCTTAAGGTTTGGATTTAGAGAATATAGGCAACTGGTGATGCACATGTAATTCAATAGGGCGTGCATTGCCTCTGAACTTCATTCACCATTCCATAAGCAAGGGGTGTATATG